AGTGGTCGTGACCAACAGGTTGAGAACCATTGCCCTTCCTTGGAACCATCCAAAAAGTCTTGGTATGTCCTTAGAGTTTCTTCATGTCTACTAGTTTTACTAAGCTTGATCTCCAATTAAATATTGTCTATCTTTTCCAATTAAACATTCACTATCTACTCCAAGTTCTCCAATCTATTTGGCCTCCATCATTCAAACATTAAAGCTCAACAATAAAGTATTAACTCAATGGCTTATGTGATCCTTTCAACTTGAAGGACTTCTCACTTGTGAGTATCCTTTGTGTTGTGAGATCCATCAGATGTCAGATGGTTTTGCCCACATAACCTAAAATGGGTCTTCTACCTTTTACCGCAGGTCATTAGAAAGACCTCTAAATTGGGACCCTGATTGCTGTCAATCTTCAGTACCTTTTCTCAGCCTGAAGCAGCTCTGTCTTTGCCCTAATTCTCCTCCCCCACACTAATGGCATGTACCCCTTGCCACTTAATGGTGTCCTCTTTTGGAACTCCTCATGCTTTAGGAATTTCTTTTTCTAATAAATGGCCTTGATTGAAGTACTCAATTTAAGACCAAGGGCTTTATTACTGTCTAGAAGACAGGATCCTAGGGGCCCAGCAACTTTTAACTATAACCACTACAGATTGCTGCCTGTTGCCATTGTACATGCATGTTTCTTCCATCTTTTATCTGGTTTTGCCTCTAAAATTCTTCTCTTCCCATTGTCTCATTCTGTTTTATATATTGTTTTACTAGATTCTAACTTTTATGTTTTTCCTTTCCTTTTGACCTCTATTTACTACCCACTATCTTCCTGCTATCATCTATCTATCTATCTATCTATCTATCTATCTATCTATCTATCATCTATCTATCTATCTATCTACAATGATAAATTTTCTGAGTTTATTTTTGTCTTTCTTTTTCATGGCTCCTACTTCTAAAATCTGTCCCCACCATACAATTGCACTTGTGTCACTAGTCCCTACGTCCCAGTCTTAATGTTCCCTCTCCTTCAACTCTTCACTGACTTGTCTTCTATGCTTTCTTTTTCTCTTTGTTCATTTATTCCCTTTAAATTCTCTTCATATTGCTTATATTTGAGTACACATTTTTCTTTTTTTCCTTTCTCTATATTCTTTTTCTGTCTTCACTACTGACTTTAAAAAAAAAAACAAAACCAAAAATCAGTGCTATCCCCTCCCTTTGTGGTTCTGGGAATGGAAAGGAAGACCTGAGCCTATATCCCTGGGCCCCCCTTTAAAATCTATCCTATCCACATCTCTCCCCGGACACAGCTGTTTCCAACCACTCTGTTTTACTTTGTTCTACTGATCTTTCTGCCTCCCTCACATCTCTCCCTATTGGCCAAGACTCTTACTGACCAAAAAAGTCACTCTTCTGGTAGGCCCATCAGTGCACTTCCATAGAAAACCCAGCATGAACAAAAAACCCTTGGTGCCTGAGGTCACACATCACTGTCCCCAGCCTGTTCTCTCCCCTCCTCAGGGGATATCCCATCACTCTGGCCTGTCTTCTACAGAAGTTATTAGGTTCCTTTAACTAGACCCTCTTCACCCTTTGCCCCTCTCCTCTGAAACTCAGAAGGAATTTCAAGCTCTTGACTAAGTTTGCACCAGCCTGTGGACCGTTGAAAGTCTGGCTCTCTCTTATTGTAGTTGCCCCAGTGGTTTTAACTGCTGGCTGGCTCTTGTTTTCTCTTGCGTTCTTGGGTTACTTTCTCTCACTCATCCTCACTAATCCCCCCTTTTTCCCCTTCTTCCTATGCCTTCATTACTTTTCCCATCACTCTTCGACCACTTCTCCCCTTTGTCTTCCTCCATTTACAAGCTCCTGTTACTTTATTCAATGTGTATATGTGTGTGCGCCCAAGTGTATGTATGTGCATCTCATGTATTCAGGAGCCTGCACAGACCACAAGAGGGTGCCAGAACCCTAGAACTTGAGTTACAGGCATCTGTGAATGTCACCTGATGTGGGTGTTGGCATCAAGCTTTGTCTTCTGCAAGACCAGCAAATGTTCTTAATCAAGGAATTATCTCTCTAGCTCCACAGGCTCCTGCTTGTTAACCCTTTGCTTTCCCACCTGCATTTTTATATTGTCTCAATTTACTAGTTTCTTTTTAGAATCCAGTCTATGCTAATTTGCTTTTCTTTTTTTTTTTTTTTTTTTTTTTTTTTTTTTTTTTTTTGATTTTTCGAGACAGGGTTTCTCCGTAGCTTTTGGTTCCTGTCCTGGAACTAGCTCTTGTAGACCAATCACCTGTGTTATTTTTATCCTCTTACACTTTGAATTCTCCTATTGTGCCCATTTTTCTTGTTCTCTTGAGGGTTTTCTTGCTATCCTTATACTATCTTCCTGCCTCTTTATCTACCTGTAATCTCTATTTCAACTCTTGCTGGCTTCTCAAAATGTCTCCTTCCTATAGTGTACTTGATCTCACTAGTTCCCACCTTTCTTCTTTATTGTGTCTCCATTCGTTTACATTTTATCCCTTGTTGCTCCATTCCCTGAAGTTTTTAGTTTTTTTCTCTACCTTTACTCTTTGTTCATGTTTGTTTTTTAAAAGCTTTCTTATGCTTTTCTTTCTTCTCCCCTTCCCTTCTCTAGCCTATTCTTCATCTCCTCCATTCTCCCTTTCTCCATTTCTTTTCATGAGTTCACAATCTATTGGCTCCTCCTTCTTTCAATTTTTCTTTCTTGTTTTGTTTCTACTTCTCTTTTTCTGCCATGCTGTTATAGGTTTTCTTTCTGATTTATTTTTCTAAAATTCAGACATATTATTAATCTTTCTACATATCCTGTCTTTTAAAAACTGATACCCCTGCCCCACAAGGCCTGAATTACTCATTGGCCCCTCCTTTTAAAGTATCTTTCCCACAATTTCCTTTTCTTTGTTTCCACTAACTTTGATTTTCTTTTACACTTACCTCCTTCTTTCTTCCCCTTGTTATTTCTCCCCTGTCTTCAAATTTTACTTCATTTTTTTATTTGTCTTTGCTTTATCTTCCTTCCTTCCTTCCTTCCTTCCTTCCTTCCCTATCCTTGCTAGCTTCCCTTGATTCTATACTTTCTTCCTCTTTCCTTTCCTCTCCTTTCTCTTAATTTCCTTCCCTTCTTCCTCCATTTCTTCTGTACTTTTTCTTCCCTTTCTTCTCCCTCCTCCTACCTCTAGCTCTCCTTCTTCCCCCCATCTACCTCTCCCCCCTCCTCCCACCTTTCCCTCCCTTCTCCTATGTTTATCCTTCCCCTCACCTCTCCCCTCCCTCCTCCCACCTTTTTCTTACCTCTTTCCCATCCTTCCATCTCTTTCCCTGCCTCCTCCCATCTTTATGCTTCCCCCTCCCACCTCTCCTCCTCCCTCCTCCCACTTCTTTCCTCCCTCCTCCCACCTCTTTGCCTTCCCCTCCTCTCTCCTCCCACTTCTTTCCTCCCTCCTCCCACCTCTTTGCCTTCCCCTCCTCCCTCCTCCCTCTTCTCTCCTCCCTCCTCCCATCTCTTTCCCTTCCATCTTTCATCTTCCCCCTCCTATTTTTCCTCTTTCTCTTCCCATCTTTAGGCATCCTCCTCCCATCTTTATTCCCCCTCCCCATCTTTACTTTCTTCCTCTCATCTTTACCCCTCCCTCCTTCCTCTTTCTTCTCTTCCTTTTGTTCTCATTTTCCCCTCCCTCCCCTTCCTTTCCTGCCTTTTAATTCTACCTCCCTTTTTCCCTTCCTTTTTCTCTCCTTCCCGTTTCCCCCTCTTGTCCCTGTTATCTACCTTCTTTTCCTCCTCCCCTCTCGTGTCTTATCTTCTTTCCATCTTTTTCTTTTCCTTTCTCCCTTTTTCCTCCCTTCCCTTTTTCCTCTCCTCTCTTTCCTTTTCTTTTTACCTTCCCTCCACCCTCCCTCCCATCTGTATCCCTCTTCCTTCCCTCCCTCATTTTCTCTTTCTTCCTCTTTCAGACAGCATCTTTGTAATTTATTGATTTCCAGCCTCTCCACGGGTAGAATAACAAGCATGCTGCCTCCTTTCCTTCTTCCCTTTTAAAGATTACTGTCTCCCTTCCTCCTTGCCTCACTCCCCTTTATAACTTACAGTCCTCTCTTTCCCATCTTACCTTTTTATACTTACTTTTGTTTTGTTTTGTTTTAAAAAAAAACTGCTCCACTTCTTTAACTTCGTAGGGCTGAAGTCTCTTGGGTAAACCCTGCACAGCTTTGCAAGTGTATTGGAATTCCTTCCTTACAAATCCTTTTCAAACCCCTCTCTCACCATCACAATCTCCCTTTTCACTCTTTTCCTATTAGCTCTTCCTTCCTTGTCTACCCTTCCTCCTCTACCCTCTTCTATCTCTTTTTTGTCTTCATCTCTCCCTATTCCCATGAAGCGATTAATGCTGGAGTCTACTGGTTTCTCCTGTTCAATTTGCTTTCTTCTGTCTCTCCTTGTTTTCCCCATTGTCTTGTATCACCATTGGCTACTAGGTTCTTTCTCTTTCAATGTTTTGTTTTCCTATTACTTGCTTTGCACACTTTAATATTCTCTCAATCTTTGTATATTATCCCTTCATCTAACTTCTGTAAATTTTCTTGCTCTTACTGGCTTGTTAACCTTTTCTTACTTTTCCGTGTTTACTTACTGCCTGCCTCAACTTACTTCTCGCCTTTGCTTTCTGCATTTCTTACCTGAGTGAGCATGCTATCTCCTCCTTCTGGCTGTTTGTAAAACTATGTGTTTACTTGTTCACTATAGGCATTGTGCTTATACTTTTTTGTGCATATGCTTTTTTCAACTGGATCTGTAACTGGAAAGTGCATCACATTGTGCCTGACACAGGTATTGAGGGTTTTTAGAACTTACTTTTGCAGGGGCCTTTTTAAAAAAATCATGTGAGCATAAGGTGGTTTTATAGAGACATTAATATTTCATATATTGTTCTTCAGCTTCCACTTATCTACTATGCCTTTTATTCTCCCTCCCCTATCTCTCTCACCTGTTTCAGATTGTCTTTGGATTTCAAAGGCACTTGCTTTTCCGGTTTCTTTTTTACTGTCTTTCTTTTGTAGTTTTTGCAAATGGTAGGCAATTCTTTTGTGAAGCATTACTTGTTTCTACAAAATATTTAAAAATACATTTAATAGGTTTCCAATTCAAATAGAAACCCGTCAGTAAAAATACAACACAGATTACTTCAAATGTGATGACATACCTGAAGTAGACCTTTGTCCCTATTTGGAAATGTCGAAATTTACAATGGGTTTGAAGAAATATACGAAGAGGTTAAGTTTCCTTTTAAGACTCAACATGAAATTGTGTGTACGCATGTGCATGTGTGCATGCATCCGTACTCTCTTGCCATCTGGAAATTTAAGCTAGGGTCTTGTACATGCTAGGCAATCCCTTTACTATTGAAGAAAAGCATATTTTAGTAACAACTCAATCTAATCTAACGTTCTTGGGACTCTCTTTAATTACAGATTGGGGCTAGAATGAATCTCTCCATCAATAACTATCTTCTGAAAATTCATATTTTAAAATATAAAATCGTGCCAAAAGCTTTTCCTGAAACAGCCCAAGTCCAGCAAAGGCTAACTACCTTTCGGTTAATTTCATCTCTGATTTTCCGACGACGGTCATCAGCTTTGGTGTTCCTTTTCACTTCTTCTCCAATCTTTGTTAGAAATGCCATTTCCTTGGATTGCCATTCCTAAGGGACATGCCATTACAGTTATCAGCATATGTCTGTTTTATTTTAAAAGCATTTTCTTTTTCTTCAACCAATATGCAAATTAGATCAGATCAATGGCCTAATAAATTTTAGGTCAATAATAAAGCAAATCTTGCATTGTGGTTTTAAATATGCTTATTTATCTGCCATTCATTGGGACTGACCAGCTGGATGCAATGGGATGGGAAAGTAAAGAGATGGTTTTGTAATTACAAGCATGAATCCAGCATGAACATGACTCTAAAGATGAATTTCAAAAGCTATTGGCAAAGGGGTGTTGATTTCTAACTCAGGGAGGATATCTGCTACTCTCAAAGGTATTCTCAGAGAGGAACTAAACAAATAGCTATGTCATAACTCATGTGGAGGTCTATAGAGTGAGCTCCCTACTTCCAATGTCACATACATTCTGGGACTTGAACTTAGGTCACCAGGCTAGTACAGGAAGTGGCTTTCCTAATGAATCCTTCTTGCTGGCCTGGGTTTCTTTTTTTTAAAAAAAAAAATATTTATTATGTGTACAATATTCTTTCTGTCTGTATGCCTACAGGCCAGAAGAGGGCACCGGACCCCATTACAGATGGTTGTGAGCCACCATGTGGTTGCTCGGAATTGAACTCAGGACCTTTGGAAGAGTAGGCAATGCTCTTAACCTCTGAGCCATCTCTCCAGCCCCTGGGTTTCTTTTTTAAACTGAAATAACTTCAAATGATAGAGAGAACCTGTGAAAACAGTTTACAAATGAAACAACCATACAAGTTTCCAGTTCAAAATTTGACCCTTACCTGGTCAATGTCTGTGCGGAGATTCAGTTTCCTTCTAACGTTATCCCAGTGTTGTAGGTCTTCTTCCAGTAACTGCAAGGTGTTTCGCCTTTCCGAGGTGTTTTCAATTTTGTCTAGTTCTTTGTGAATCATATGCAAATGTCTGAGTAAAAGTGAAACAAAGGAATGTAAATGAGATGCTTCTTTTAGGATACCTGTCAGTCACTCTGAAACTCTGGTATAGCAACATGCATTTTGGTATACTCTGAGATGAATGTATGGATGAGAGGAGCCAGATAAAGAATAACTGGCTTTCACTCAAAATGATCAAAAAGAAAAATCTACAACTCCTCCATTTACCTTCTAAGGCTGTGGCTTGCTATCTAAATATTAATGTGTGATTAGTAGCTGAAGGAAAATGTCCAGTTGGTAGAGGAATGGTATGTTTCCATGCATCCGAGAAAGTTGTAGCAATTTGATCATTGTGGCTTTAAAATAATTTCATTTAAACTTATGTTTGATATATGTTAAAGACAGTCTCTTTCCCTTTGGTAGTGCAGACCTGGCTTTCACAAGTTCAGTGATTTGTATTTTGGATTTCTTCAGTAACAGTTTAACTTACCTCTTGGGCTCCTGGTGACTTCAGTTTCTCAGGTACAAACTTACCTTCCCAGTCTTTAAGGTTAGCATTAAGGTTCCCAATCCCTGTACCTCTTGATGTAATTATTATAATTTATTATAATTTTTTTTAAAAAAAATGTGTATTGATGTTTTCTCTGCATGTAAGTCTGTGTACCACATGCTTGCAGTGCCTATAGAGGGCATCAGATCTTTTACAACTGGAATTCAGATGGTTATGAAGCACCATGTAGGTTCTTGGAACCAGACCTTAGCCCACTGGAAGACTACTAGCCCGTGATCTTAGCTGCTGGGCCATCTCTTCAGCCCCGCTTGATATACCATTTTTTTTGTTCTCCATGTTGAAAATGCTGAGGGGCTTAAATGTATCTAGTACCTTCATGACTCTATCTTCAATTCTTTCTAGTGTTTTTGCAGTTTGAGGGGGTTCTAAAATATGCCCATGAACTCTGGGCATACACAAACTCTGACTCTACCTGAGTTTCAGTAGTCGGTCTTGATGCGGGCAAGGTTTTTTCCCTTCTTGTAACAACCACTGCTGAAACTCAGCAGCAGCAGCGTCGTCACAGGCCCGTCTCTCTTCGTTCAGTTTGTTCACTTGATCTTCAATGATTTTCTGCAAGAAAGCAATTATTGGATGTTATATACTTGACAGAAATAAATCTATGCTTTGATAAATTTTCTTTAAATTTAATTTTAAGTAGAAGTTCTGACTTGCTAACCTGCTTTTTGCCTTGCATGGCCCTATCCCACAAATAAACTTTTTCTATGTAAAAATCAAATGGGCTCTCTGTCATCTACAGATTCTTTAGATACTTTATTCCTGGAATAGTTTAAGGAAATATTGTGCAAAGGGCCTAGCTTTTCACAAATTTTTATTGGTCCCAAATAAACTCAAATATTTAACTTACTTGTTCTCTGATATAGTTTCGTTCAAAGTCAATTTTTAAAGTAGTAAGATATTGTCTGTATTTGTTCAACTCTTTTAAGGAACACACCACCTACAATTCAAAAATAAAAACATAAAATTTTAAAAATTATAACATGTTTATAGAGCAGAATAAGGACTTTCGTTCTAGTAACAATTTTAGGATGAACTGTAATAATATATTTTTTGTAACATTTTTGCAGTCAGTATCTCTAAACAGTGATGACCAACCAGGAAATTTCTAAATATTTTGTTAACATAGTTCCAAGTTAAAATTACTTCTAGAGACATGAAAATAAATGCCTGTTTACATACCAAAAATTGTTCAGTAATTCTCTTTTCCTATCACTGACAAACTGTCAACTATAGAGTAGTTTTTACAAGAAAAGAAAATCCACCCAACGCTAAGCAATTTATTGACTTTCTTCTGTGATATCTGCTAGTGATCAACTAGAAGCTGGCATAGGTACTGAAGTGCCAAGCAAGTGCCTAGATTTTTGCTGTTCAGAAGAAGGCCTCAACGCACTTTGTTATTGCCGGTGATGTATCCTCCCTGTCTTAGTTTCTTAAGGATGTCTTTTCGCTTGAAGTATGACTTTAGGTGTGGATCGTGAAGACTTTTGTAAGTGGTTTCCATGAGTTTGCAGTAAGGATCATTAAGGTTAAAACCAAAAGAAGGCTGATAAAGCTGCCAAAAGAAACATATTTGAAATTATTGCAAGTGCAAAATTCATGAAATAATACTTTTAAACATCAGTTTATTGAAATAATTATGTTCATTGAAAGTAAAACATACAAGCAGAAACTACAGTGAAAGAATGTAATGGGCTGATCTGGGTAAATATGCCTTCCATCTTCCCTCTCTTCCCCAGCCTAATTTTTACATTAGCAGTGGCATGGGGAATCTTGTTTATGAACTTTGTGTTTGATTTACCTATAGCCTCAACCTTAACTCAATTCCTGTGTACATAGGTCAGGATAGACTGTCAACCAAGAGAGGAGAGTACATGGTAAGTTTCGGGCATCAGATGAACCAAGGCACAGATGCAGAAATCAGCATGTGTAGGCCAGAAAGACCACATCCTGTCAGGTTGAGGCCTTGGCTGGAGAAAGTCTGGATGGAGGGATTGCAGCTCTTTCTGGGGCGTTCTATCATTAACGTGAGTTTAAGGACTTTAAAACATTGCCAGCTTATTTAATTCCATCTGTGTGAAACTGAAGGTGATATACAAAGTGCAATCATAGCAAAATGTTTCAAATTTAACAACTAAAAATGTAAAGAAAGCCACTTATACATCATTAAAACACAGTTTACCTTTTCACTTAGATTTGTTGTGTAGAATATATTAGTACTTCCTGGGATAACAGGCAGTTTGGCTCCAAGAGGCAAATCCAATAGACTAGATGGTCCAATATTTGGAATGATAAGGTTCTTTTTCTTCTGTGTTAAAGAAAATGGAAACGTTTGTCTTTTCTACTAGGAAGTGTTCCTTTAGTTTACTTCAGATGTGTTACACTTCAACAAGATAGCACAACCCAGGTTGCTAGGTATCTGGGTGGAAGGAACTGACTGGCCGCAAACCAAGGCCTCTATTTCTGGGCCCTTCCCTATAAGTCAGGGACATCTTGAGCCCTCCCTGTCCCTCCACACTCTGTCCTGTCTCCGCCCCGCAGGCCAGAAACTATCCCATGATTCCACCTGTTGGTCTGAAACCTGCCCTGACCAAGGAAGAAAGGCAATGAACAAATAAATGCACTGTATGGAGGGGCCAGCACTCACGGTTCTACAAGTCTCTTTGTCAGATTTTAGGTTGTCCGAAGCCGCTTTGGAGGCAGCAGCCTCCGCGGCCTTTAAACAGTTGTTTAGGTACAAGTCCATGGCTACCCGTCAGCCCCCAAGGGCTGGGGGCTGAGGGAGTGGACTATCTCCCGCTCTCCCTTCCTGCGACCGTCCCCTCCGGTGTCCGGGACCAGACTGAGCCAAGGCCCTAGATACCCTGGTTACAAGCCCTCAAGGATGCACACGTCACAATGCTGCTTTGCTAGCGTCCTCAGTAGGCGCTCTCAAGGCCACACCCAAAGGGTGTCGCCCTTTAGGCACGTCACACCAGCAGAGCCACGGACATCACCCAATAGAAGTTTCCACAATAAATGTGGCTCCAACAGAAGTAGCTCTAGCAGATGCTACTTCAACAGTTGCCAGTTTCTAAAATCCTTGCCAAGAAAGATGTTGTTTCAACAGACACCACCCAACAGACAACCCCTCCATGGACTGTCCCAATAGACATTGTTCCAGCCGATGTCGCTCCAGTGGATGTCGTCCCATTCGATGTCGCCTTAATAGACGTCATCCTTAGGTGGGGGCAAAGACCTAGTTGCCTCTCGAGGAGCGCATGCGCATTACCCAAGCCTAGCGCTTGAATAATTTGAGTCTAGAAAGTAGCCTGAAAGGCCCTTAAAGAGTACCACAGGTGGGGTTCCACAGCTCTCTGAAACCAATGTCCCTTACCAAATGCACCAAAGCTATTATTTCTATTCAACAAGGATCCAGATTTCCTGAAACGAATGTCCCTTACCAAATGCACCAAAGCTATCGTTTCTAGTCAACAAGCATCCAGATTCCTGAACAATTGGGCAATTTTTATTAGGGTCATTTTCCTGGCTTCCCCTGTCTACCCCCTTTATAATCATTGTGATTTTCCTTTGCCCCTAGGTATGTGAACTCCAGTCCTATTTGAGACACAGGCTTTGTTAAAACGGACATTTCAGGCTAAGAGATATCTGAGACAATTTATTGAACTGTTCTAGATGCCAGCCAAGGTGAAAGAACCAGTTGTGGTAAAAATTCACAAACCTAGCAGCAGCTCTTCATCCGGGTCCTCTACCTGTCATTTCCAGAGAAGTGAATCTCACTCAGACTCTGATAGTTCTTACTCAGGGAATAAGTGTCACCCTGTAGGCTACAGGAACCCTACACACACACACAAGGGTGGAGGTGGTCGTGGGGGCCCACATGAATTGGGGTCGAGGCAGGGCACAGCAAGGAAAGAGGCATGACCTAGCTCCAACCAAACGCAGATGGCAGATGGCTCCAACCAAACAAAGAAGATGGCTGCACTGGAGTGTGAAGATCCAGGGCTGAGCTTAAGAAGGAAAAGAGGGCAGCCCGTTTCCAGCATGGGCACCCACGCCGCCTGCGCCTTGAACCTTTGGTATGAGTAACCTGGAAAGCAGTGGAGATCCAGGTTGTGGGCACGTCTCTTGACATCACAAAGCACTGTCTACTGCTGACCTACGTCCCAGACCCATCAACTGTGAGACCTGTGACTGTTTTGAAGAAGTCTCTGTGCATGGTCAAGTCTCACTGGAAGGAGACACAAGACTACTATGCCTTTGCCTGTGAGCAGATGAAGTCTATTCAGCAGGACCTGACCGTGCAAGGCATCCATCCCGAGTTCACTGTGGAGGTGTTTGAGACACATGCCTGCATTGCCTTGGAGAAGGGTGACCATGAAGAACTGAACCCAGTGCCAGTCGCAACTCAAGTCGCTGACCACGGAAAACTTGGCAGGCAATGTGGGCGAATTTACGGCATACCTAATCCCCTATTACATCTTCACCAAGAACTCTGGGGACATCACTACGGAGCTGGCATACCTCACAAGTGAGCTGAAAGCTGACCCCTGTGTGTCCCACGCATTGGCACTGAGGGCAGCCTGGGCCCCAGACATCTACCACCGTTTATTCTGGCTCTATTGCCATGCACCTTGTATGTCAGGCTACCTTGAGGACAAGTTTGCAGACCGGGAGCACAAGTCTTCCCTCAAGGCCATGATCAGAACCTTCTGCCCTGCTCTGCCCATCTCCTACCTGCAGGCCAAGCTGGCCTTCGAGGGCAAGACCGCCTGCCAGGCCTTCCTAGAGCCCCTGGGCCTGGCCTACACGGGCCCAGACAAACTCCAGCGCGGACTGCCGCCTCAGCCTGGCGCAGCTGCCAGCCTTCTGAGCACCCATCGAGAACGTGCAGGATTAGGGCTGTGGCCCAGCTCCACCTTTGTGGATTTTGTTTTTGAGCCATGGACATGGGCTATAATTTAATTTGTGGGCAATGGGCTCCAGGAAGACTCAGCATCCCTACCCCCATTTCCCACCGGGAATGTGTACAGAGATTTTTCTGTTATTTTTTTGTCTCAGAGGGTATAATTGGTAGTATAGTGGAGGAGGGCAGGGTGGAGGCTATAGGTTCTGTGTCCACCTCTCACCTCCACTAATGCTGTCTCAGTGTTTTCTCTCTCTTCTGAGCTCGTACTCCAGCACCTGACCCTGCGTGCTGGCCCATCCCATGTTGAGGGGTCAGCAGAAAGAAGATAGGCCGTCCAGCCGGCACCCACCTGCAGGGGGCCACCAGTCAGGCACAGCTATTGCCTCGTCTGCCTCTTCATAGACTCTTGTCCAGTCATTGGGGCCTCAGTGATTGGGATGAAGGGAGCTGCTTAAAGACTATGCCCCACCTTCAACCCCTCACTCCAGTAACGCTAGCCAGCACCAACAACACAGCCAGACCAGCGCTACACCGTACCGAGGACTCCAGGGCCTTTGGGGGACCATGCCAACCAGGCTGCCTTGTATTACTCAAGTTGTATTAAGTTGTCTCCGTGTCCCCTCCTCCCTCTGCCCCAATGTTGCTTCTGCTTTTTTCCCCTTCCCTCCCTTCTTCTTTTTCCCTTCCTGCTCCCTGGTTCAACACACGTAAAATGGTTACAATCACTAAGAACAGCAGCAGCAGGGGAGTGGAGCCAGTCAAAGCCTAGAAGACAAGATGTGTGTTATGCAGAGGGCGAAGCCAGAGAAGTCCTCTTGGAGTAGTCCAGAAGATCATGGGTGAGTCCCAGATAAGGGAACATTGAGTTATTTACTGTATTGGAATTTGGTTTTGCTTTGTTCAGATTGTGATGATGCCCTGGTTCTTCCTGCTTGAAGAAAGTGTTTAGCTTAATTTTGATTTTTTACAGGAGTCCACAGTTGAGACTTTGAACTTTCAAAAGAGATTTGGGGTATTTTAAAGAGGCTGAATTCTTAATGTGTTTGAATTTGTAAAGACAATGGGAGATTTGTAGTTATTTATGTTTTAAGTGTGAGATCTTGGGGATGAATGAGAAGGGAAAGGTTGTGACTTAGTGGTGATGTATTTGTGTGTCAAGTGGAAATGGGGTCAGTTGTGCTGAACAGTTTTATGTCAACTTTATACAAGCTGAAGTCTGATTCTAAGACACGGACATAACCCCCTCTGGCTAGCCCACTCCTCCACTTTACTCTACCTTCCCTCCCTGTAATGGATGTTGGTCTTTCTCAGCTCCATGCTACTGTCAGTAGGTCAGCTAGAACACACCTTTGATACTGGGTAGAAATCCCATATGAAACCCTGCTACCACTCTCTTATGGCTTCTCCATCTCCAGACCGTTTCTCCCCACCACCTGTTATTTCACTCAGGTAGAGCCCAGCTTTTGTGTCCTTATGTTGCCACTCTCTATCACCCCAACGCTTGTCATCATTTGATCATTCATTAGTGGGCTAAATTCCCTGATCCTGGCAGGATGGTCAGTCTGCTTTGTTTTGTTTTTATTTACCTATATATTTTTCTCTGCTCTCCTCTCTCCCTCCCCCCTTCCCTTCTACCCTCTCCCATGATCCCCATGCTCCCAATTTACTCAGGACACATTGTCTTTTTCTACTTCCCATGTAGATTAGATCCATGTATGTCTCTCTTAGGGTCCTCTTTTCTGTCTAGGTTTTCTGGAGTTGTGAATTGTAGGCTGTTTTTTCTTTGCTTTATGTCTAAAAGTCACTTATGAGTGAGTCCATATTATATTTGTCTTTCTGGGTCTGAGTTACCTCACTCAATAAGATGTTTTGAAGATCCATCCATTTGAAATCAAATCTGGACATGAAAGCAGAATCCAGTACTATTTACATGGAGGAGGAGGAGGACAATCAGGAGGGGGAAGAAGGGACATTAGGGAGTACTGGAATGGAATATGAGCAAAGTACAGCTATATACACACATAAATATGCACATACATTTATGAACATGGAATAATGAAAATTTTGCATAGTAAATAAATAAATTAAAAGTTGAGTTTTTTAGTTCCTTTATCTTTTCTTTTCCTGTATTTTCCAGAAAAGCTCAGTACTAATGTCTATAATGTTATGATATTTAATATATACAATATGTAATCAATATGTGGAAAATATTGGAGTGTCAGAGCCAGTGTAGCTTCTAGGGCTTCCATTCAAAAGTACCACAAACTAGATGCTTTCCAAAACAAAAGAATTTATATTCTCAGTGTTGGAGACTAGATATCTTAAAGTGGTGGCAGCTTCCCCTACCCCCATCTTCTGGAATGGTCCATGGTCTGGTTAACTGTATAGCTTCCTTTGGGAAGCATTGAGGACATTCTCCTCTGTAATAACCTTCCATTCTAGAGAGTTTACACTTCATGGAACCCAACCACTATGATCTCCACAACCTACCTGATCAAGGGGGCAGGTGATTTATCAGAAGTGTGAGGTTCCTTTTCAGGTGTTGTCACTTGTTCCTGTAGGACCTACCTAATCCAGGAGAGAGGGAGGCAAAGGCCATGGTCGTGGCTTTCCTCTTAGCTACTCTGTCCTCATTAACTTTGGCCTCCAAGTATGACTGTTGTAAGCCCAGAGCAGTTACATCAGTCTTGAAAAGTGAAAACTAGTTTAAAATTTACTTGTTGCCGTGGGGCATGGTGGCACATGCCTTTAATCTGAGCACTAGAGGCGGAGGCAGAGAGATCCCTGTGAGTTTAAGGTCAGCTAATGTTAATCAGTGAGACCCAGTGTTAAAAGCA